ATCTGTGACTGTAGTGGTATTTTGAAGTAGTGCTCTGCAGTTCTCTAAGTAGGAAGATTGGTAGGTTTGGGGTTTTCAGGGTGTTTTTGTATATGTGTTTTTTTGGGGGAATGTGTTTATTGTCACTGTGGTTTTTTTAATCACTGGGGAAATTGGAAAGCTCCCCCAGAAACTCAGCTGTCTTCATCTGTTAATGCAGGAATTTGCACGGTCTGAGCTCTGAGCCAAGCAGTAGCCTTTCAGCATGTCTGAGAGGAGAAGGTGCATACCTGGGTCCAGGGCTGTAATTTTCAATGGATATTTTCTAAAATCTTTGTTCACATCCTCTGTGCGTTAGTGGCAGTCTGTAAATTCATCTTATAACAACAAGCCAGTGACAGCTGCTGAAAGCTGATATTCAGAAATATCAGAACTAATGCCACCAGTCAATTCATCTTTAACCAAGTTCTTACACAGAAGTTATTCTGCTCTGTTCTGATTTGTTTGAAGCGTGTTCTGATTGTGGTCAGCAGGCGTCAGCAGTCGTCTCTCAAGAGCTTCTGCTAAGTTGCTCTCCTGAGCACGGATCAGTCCTTGCTGCATAGCGAGCTTTGTCTCTCCTGAAGCCAAAGGACCTGTTAAACTGGCTTCTGCATCGGTGGACAGAAGGAAAAGTACACACTCAGGCCTTCCCTAGTGGCAGGCATCTTTATTCCAAACAGGTCACAATGGAGCACTTTTGATCTCTGATTGCAATATCATTTTTGTTCTCAACAGATGCAAAGCATAACTGGGTATAGATAGCTGCCTACCAAAGCAAGAAGCTGTCAGGGCTCTGATCCTACACCATATATCAGGTTTCTTGGAGCACTGCAGCCTATCTGCTTCTTCAGATTTTCTCTCTGAATGAATGAGGAAAGCAAGGACTTAAAAGTTGGTTAAAATCCAGCCAGATACATGAAAATCTGGAACCTCATCTTATTCACTCTCGATTCTGTTTGCAGATACAGCATTGTGTTAGCCCTAAGTCTGTGTAAGCTGCCTTAAGTTATGAATTTTAACTGATAGTTCTGGGTCTGTTCTCTTCAGTCAGCAATGAGGAAATGAATTACATTAACTTCTGAATCTTTAACCTGTTGTGCAATGATAGAGATCTTATTCTACCACTTTTTCTTTTTTTCCATGGAGGAATACAGTCCAAAACGTGCCTGAACAATAGGGAAGAACATTTTCTTGTAAAAGCAGTTCCAATATCCATGTTGCTCAATAAGAAAGGATTAAGATTTTAGCAGGTTATCATAGGCTTCTATAGACAAAAAGCTTATGTTAGACTGTTGTAATAATTAAGTCTTTTCATTTGCTAACTCTCATAAAGTGCATAATCAGTTGTTATGCTTTATGATGTGGTTCTGGAAGGTATTCCTTGGTTTGTCTAGCCTTGACCCCTGCAATCACATGCAGCAATGGAAGGGATTTTCTGCATCGAGGGACTCACGTATTGCCACTGCATCACTCTGTCATTATAAACCAAAAGCTGTGTTTCAGTGCCTGAAAGGAAATATTAACCATCTGTGTAGGGATCTGCAGGCTGATTTTGCATTATCTTTCTTGTGCACTGAAAACTGTTACTTGGTGCTAATGGTGTGTGCCATCCCATGTCAAAATTGCAGGCATGCAGAGGCACAAAGAACAAACGGGCTGATAAGTTTGTCAGAATTCATGACTAAAATGACATCTCTTTCTTAGGACTGTTGTTTGTTGGAGTCTAATTGGATTTACTTGTGCTAAATGCCATTAGTAGTGTGCCCCATACTGGTCAGCAATCTGAGAGTTGCTGGATGTATAGAGCTTGTGAAGGAAGTGTCTTGTGATGGGAGGTGAGCATCTGTGCAGTGCAGTGGGCTAGGCCCTGGCTTGGGTGAAACTCATCTAAGATAAAGGAACGTGGCTGAAGCTCCTGTGAGAAGAGGTCTCACTGAATTTTCTTTTATTTTTTTTCTGATTCCAGAAAGGGAATTGTGAATTTGGTATCAAAACAGGACAGCAAGCATGTTTAATGTGGTTTGTGTTTCTCTTAACGAATGCATGCTGTTGCTGTGGGATTGAGCCTGCTGGAGGTGTAAGTTCATCTGCACAGCAGCACTTAGGGAATGCACAGACTTGGGCTTCTCTTGGTGCCTTTGATAGGAGTAATAGCACCCAATAAAGGTGGAGCTGTGCAGTCAGAAGGTGGTAATTTCCTTGAAAGCACCACGGGTGAATGTGACAGTTCCTGACAGCTCGAGTCCACAAATCTGTGTCAGAAATACCCAGTTTATTTTCTCCTTTTGTTACAGCTGTCTGAATAAACATTCTTTTTGGATTTGAACTAGAAGTGTTATAAATGTCACACAGTTATTTTTAGGTAATAGAATATGTTTGCATAACAGCATTCTGTAAAGCTTTTTGCTGCTTGCTTACAATGTGAGTCTCCCTTGCCAGCGCATCGTACTGCCCCGTGTGCATGCAAGAGCACAGCTTGACTCCTAGGACTAGAGTGAATGGAGCAGTGCAGTAACAGAATAAAATGTGATAGAACATAATATAGTAAAATCTGACAACATTTAATGCAACAATATTTTGTCTCAACTTTAACATTTTAAGCTATGTATTTATTTATTTAGAATTTTGTGTGTGTCCTTTTCATTTACTGGAAAAGCCAACGAAAGAATGTGTGGCTACTTAATTCTTCAGAATTCATGTGTTGAGGTTTGGCTACCATTTTGGAAGGGATGTTCTAGTCTAGGTTATTTCTTTTTGCCTAGGAATTACAGTATTAAATTTTCTATCATGTTATGAAAGAAATAAAATCTACCCATTTTCAACATTCACCACTTAGCATGGATTAGCGCTTATCTGAATGACTGGCAGCATGTTGCAAAGCAGTAGCAACCATGAGAGAATAGATTTTTACAGCTAGCGAATAGAATTTGCTGGTCCATCAGCGTTTAGCTTGTTGTGAATTGAACATGTGTTTTCATCCTGTTGGGTTTCTATGCATGGAGAAATACTTCTTATGGTAGGAAGACTGGGCTTTTGGTTAGTCTGGAGTCCTTTTGAGGTTTATGACTCAGTTTAAGTATTGCTGCTGACTACGTTCAGTAGCTGGAATATGCTGAGAGTCTATTTCTGGTTATTGAAGTTGAACTGGCTTGACAAAATACGTCTTATTGTGGATTGTTTCCTGTTTTTTGGAATCTAACCATAGATTACAAAGAGGTCTTACAATTATCCTCTAAGGGACGCTTATGGCTAATTACTCCTACTGTTATTGCTACCTGGAGACAGACAGGTGAACAAGAACAGGGTCAGGCAGAAGAGGACTAAGTTACCTCTTGTTCTTTCCTGATACTGAGTAGCTATTTGTGATGTTCCTGCTGGAAAGGGAAGCTTTAAATTGTTGCTGGTGTTGGGATTATTAATCCAGTTCGCTTCTCATCTTCAGGACACCCCTGCCATCGTTCTCTGAGAATACAAGTCTGGGGACTTTGCTTTGCTTTGTTTTATTCCTACACCCTTTCCCCTAGGACTTGAAAGTAATTAGATGTAATGAAAGGCTTTTGATTCTTAAATACTTTTAGATACAGGAATCTTCCACAGTCATAGTTGTCGATCCATTCTGGCTTTTAACTGCAGGATCCTCCTAAATTTTGGCTACTGAAAGAGAAGTAAGAGCAGTTAAGAGCTTACTCTAACTTCAGTGGCTATCACCAAAAAGGGTAGGAAGGAGAAAGATTACTGTAAGTACTGTGGAGATATTTTTAATACTTTCTCCTGGAGCTCTCTGGCATTTGTTACATCAGGCTCTGTTTCGAACTTGCATGTGTTTTAAATTAAATATATATAAATAAATGTTGGAAGGACATGTTATCTTTAGTACTTTCTGTTCCATAGACGAAAAAATACCTAAGCTTTTTGCTGTACATAATTTGTGTAACTGAAGAGCTCTGAAAATATTAAATATGAAAAAAAAAAAAAGCCTGGGTTGAAAATTTTACTGTAAATGGAAACTGTGGGGGAAAAAAAATAGCAAACTGGCTGCTTACTGTAAGAACTGCAGCACCTTGGGGAGATCTGACCTCCTGCCTAAAGAGATATGGTTTGGGAGCAGCAGATGCTCCAGATTTCCTAGGCAGTAGACAGTGTTAACTTTTCTGGATTACAAAACAATTCTTTCTTTCATTTTTGTGTTCTAATGGAAGACTTGATTTGCCATTATGATGTTTCAGAGTGCAGCCTGGGACCTCTAATCTTATTACATTGGTCCAATGAAATTTTTTTTTTAGTAGAACAGAACTGTCAGTGTGTACTGGTCTTGATACTATAATACAGAACTTTTTCTATTTTTTTTGTTTGTTTACAATACAAATTTTGTTTGTTTTGTTTTTTTCTATTTTGTGTGAACGATGCTGGATTAGGGAAAGCTTTTATTGGAATTATAAAAGCCACAAAATAAAGTGATGTTCCAGGCACTGCCTGTCCTGTTTTAGTTATTGATGTGTTATGGCCCTATTTTCGTTACGTACTCATTTTCTTAGTATGAAAAGAACGAAGGGCAGTTTTCTCTGACAAATTTGACAGTGCCAAGCATGTTTATATGTGAGAGTAATGGAGATGAAATTCAGGTGCGAAAGAGATTCTGGTCTCCATCCCTGTGGAAAAAAAATGCAATGCGATGATTTCCACCATGGAATGTTTTGGGTTTTTTGTTTTTGGTTTTTTTTTTTAAACTCTCTTGGAAACAGATTTTATGGTTTGTTGGTGTGCCTTTTGGTATCTGGAGCTCATGATTTCATTTCTGATACCCCAGCACACAAGAAAAGCTTGTACTTGAGTGTACGGTGTCAACAGAGAGAACTATAGTATATAGGAAGAACTATAGTATATAGGAAGTAGTTCAGTATGTTTGTGTGCTGTCTAAGAGAAAAACTCCATGGGTTTAAATCAAGAGGCTGAAGATGATGAGGACTGAAGTCAGATACTTGCACTGATTTAGCTTTTATTTATTTCCCTCTTTCTGTATGATACAGTTTTGCTATAGTCATTGTTTATCATGGAATGAAGTTGCCACTGTAGGGTTTGGGGTTATAGTAGAGGAGACTTTGGAGAAGAATTCTTTATAAATTCATAAGATATTGCTTGCATAAATGAAACAGTAGTACTTACAACCTCTTATAGCACAGTCACCTAGAGTAATAGAGATGGTAACACTATGATGTGGTCACAGCTGTCATTCCACTATACATAGCTTACTTGTTCTTCTGTTTTATCAACTTCGTTCTCTGTGAGCAGCAGTGTATCCAGCAGAATGGCTGATGATGCTTGGATGGGCGAGCTCCTCAGCCTCATTGGGCTCTGGTACATAATGGGATTAATCCCATTTCTCATCCCATGCATAACAAAGAGCTTGGAATTTTCTGTCACAGAATTTCTGATAGAGATTCTGCTGGAACACTTCCGAAGGACCCTGCCAGTCTTTGTGGTCCGATAGTTGCAAGTGATATACCTGCTGAAAGCCTCCCTAAATGTTTTGTTGAAGAGTGTGTAGACAAGAGGGTTCACTCCTGAGGATACATATCCTATCCAAACAAATATCTCCATGAGCTTTTGAAAAACTTCCTTGTTGCACGAGTGGCACAGGACTGAACTTATGTTAGTTATGAAGAATGGGCACCACATCAACAAGAAAAGAAAAAATACAATTCCAAGCACTTTTGATGCTCTTTGTTCGTTAGTTATGGTTTGCATGGATTTCCTCCCAATGGTAGACATTCTACAGATGGGCATATCGTTGGTCAGAGTCTTGTCTTTTCTAGAGCCGTTCAGCATGGCCACCTTTTCTGGTGAGCAGGCAGGTGTAGCGTCGCGTTGAAATACTGTGGACACTGTTGACCAAGTGAGACGTTGAGGTGGCTTGTTGATCAAATAGGCCTTCTTGCGTAGCACTTGAATTGTCAGAAAGTAAGTGACTATCATGATAGCGAGTGGAATGAAGAATGCAGCCACTGATCCATACAGAATGAAATCGTGAAAGCGATCAGGCATCAGAAGACATGTAATATTTGTAGAGTTTCCATTTCCATCTTCAATTCCTCTGATAGGGACTGGAATAGCAATGCCTAGAGAAGAAAAACCAAGTACTTCAGTAACTGCTTGCAACCTCAATTTTGAGCCTTAATCTTCAGTCTTTAAAGAAAAGTAGTTCCTGAACTCTCTCTGGAGTAGGCACAGGGTGACTTGAGAAAACATCAGCTGTTGAGAGCATCGCGTGGTTAATAGGGCAAATAGTAGTGTGTGAGACTTGGCAAGCTCAGTTTTAACAGAATGACACTTCCCCTTCCCCCCCTTTTTTAATTTTTTTAAAATCAGATTAGGGGTAACCCTTAGAAGTTGAGAAAGCAGTATGAAGTTGCCAACATCTCTAGTGTAAAACACATGAATTGCTTTGAGTCTAGTCATTGAAATTAGAATGGCTTTTCCCTCTCATGAAGTGAATTTCCCTAATGCTGTCTGCCCCCGTATTTTTTTCCCTCTTTCTTAGTGGCATCAAGTTATTGGACACAGCTGATGTTTTTGCAGTCTGCTTGACTTTCATATATACAAGTAGTTAAATAGATGCCAGAATTAATCAGTGTGTGCATTTGAGACAGATTTGTTGTATCAAGTCACTTGGATATTTAAGAGTGTTTAAATGAGGCTGGCTTGCTTGCTAGCTCTGTAATTCAACACTTAAAAAAAAAAAAAAAAAAAAAAGAAAGTTAGCAGTCTTGCCTTTTAAATGAATTTTTTATAACTGCTAAATTACAGTCAGCACTTCATTTGCCAGCAGTCTGACATTACAACAAAAACAACAGGTTCCTTGCTGTCTAGTGAAGGTTATTTGTGCTATGTTTCCTGATACCACTTAGAGATCTAGGGATTTACAGTATTCCTCTGGTTACTGAAGTTGACTGGGGCAGCAGGAGGTGAAATGGTTTTCCATTGAGCCACTTGACCCCTTCCTTGAGAAGAGGCACTCCTTTGGATACAGCGAGCCTTTAAAGTGAAGATGGAATTACGTTAACCTTTGATTTGGAGAAACGAGACTCTACTGCAGAGTACTCTCGTGTTAGATAAAAAGAAATGGAATGTGCAGCACTGATTAATAACAATGAGTCAGATATTAAAGGTCAACTTTCAAGTGTCACATCTCATTAAGAGTTTCCTTTTTGTTGTGATAAAATAAAGAGGCATCTTTTTTCCTGTCATCGCGGTTCTGCCAGATTTTTTATTTCAAGTTGAAATTTCTGTTTTTGGGCATGCATGCTGGAGTCAAGAAGATGAATTTACCTATTCTTTTATGCGTCATTGGCTAAAGTAATCCAGAATTATTTTTCTCTTGCACACAGCATAACAACGCTAGGCCTATTGCTGCCTATGGTGTGCATTAGTTACAGGAATTCAATGTTTTCACCATCTTAGCTCATTTAAAGACTCTCTTTAAGCAGTGAAGACAAGCAAGGTGCCATGTGCACAACAGGGAGACACTAATAAGTATTCATACATTTGCATCCTTTGTATCAATTGTTGGGTGATTTTTTTCTGAAAGGCCTTTTTGTATGATATGTTGCCAGTGCATGGTAGTCTTCACTGTGGCTGTTACCAGCTGCTCACTTATCTTTCAATTTTTGGTGCAAGTAATTAACATTTTTTTTACTGGCTTTATGAGACAGTTTTAAGTAAGGCACTGATTTTAATAGTGTATACTCAAGGCTTAAAGTTGTGTTTGGATGGATATATATTAGATTGTTTCCACAGGAACACAGAATCTTGCTTTCCCATGAGATGTGCTAGCCATGCAGATGTCAGAATTCTAACTTGTGGGATTTTAGAAGCACAAAGTATGATGCTGATACCTACTCAGTCCTTGACCTTTCTGGTAAACTTGATGAGCAGCCACTCAGACTTTTGATGTAGCTGTGTATGACCCAAATGGTTGACTTAGGGTGACCCAGATTGGCCAGATGTGTCTTTGTGCCCAACTTTCACCTATTGTTTTGGATATGAAAAGCTTCTGCATTACTTTTCCAGTCTCAAAGCCTCACGTACCTATTGAAATGAGCCAAACAATGATGATTTTGATGATTGTTGTAGCCCATGAGTTGTACTGGCTGGCCTGGATGGGCTTTTTAATCGCAATATAGCGGTCTAGTGAGATGGCACAGAGATGCATGATGGAAGCTGTGGAGAAGAGGACATCAAGGAACAGCCAAATGGGACACAAGGCAGTTGGAAAAGGCCAGGCGTTGTCTGGAAGAGAACAGAAAACTCATTAGAATCTTTGCTTTTTTGAGAGTTTTTAGTATCTTTCTTTTCCTCATTTGGCATCAGTACCTGTGAGAAGTTCCTAACCCTACAGAAACTGAACGTTGCCGCCACAGCATTCATTATGTGTATTGTAAGTCGCTCCCTATCTTTCTTTCTGCTTTAGATCATGAGCTCTTTGTAGCAAGGGCTCTGGATTGAAACAGTAAAACAGATTTTTAAAAATGGGTCATGACTGCTTGGTGCAGCACCCTAATATTAAATGATGGGGTTTTTTGGCTTTGTCTCTCTGATAGTCCTCTGATCCAAGCACGGAGGAGACAGCAGGCCATAAGCAGTATATTAGTCAGTCATTGCAGAACTATGTGTGAATCTTGAAGTTAGCAGTAATCTTGAAGAATAAACAAATGATATGTTGTCCAGCATCGTGTCCATTATTAAGGTTTTGTGGTATTCAGTGTTGCATCAGGTAGATATTTTGGGAGGCTGGGTCTCTTATTCTTTACGCTTCTAAACTGAAATAACTTCACTGAAACTGACTTCTTTCACAACTGCTTGATTTTTCACTCACAAGTTGTTTATATTACAATCCACTGCAAGCAATATTAAAGCTGAAATGCACCATAGTGGTGTTTGTGTGTAAGAATGTTCTGTAGTCCTGGAAGTGACTTTGTGAACAGAAGTTTTTTCTATTTCTAGTTGTGTCAGTTCAGATCTGCTCAAATTGTCTCTCCACGTAAAATTAATCCATGTTTGATCAGTACTTTTTATTAAAAGCCAGATAATTCAGTTCTTCAATGAATAATGATTAAGGAAAAAAAAAAAAAGAAAAAAGCCTGTAACAATCAAACTTTAAAAAAAATCTCCTTGCTCCAAACAAATAAATCTACGTGCTGAGAATGCCAAATGACTGAAAATATCGTACTGTTCAATCTTATCAGTGTGGTATTGGCACAACAGTTTGACATTAACAGGTTTTCTCATAATATGTCTGTTAGATGGAAATGATATGGTACTGCTTTTGAAATATGAGCCCCAGAAGATGGAAAATTTTAGAAGTCAAACATAGCGTGCGCTTTTCTGCATTGCTGTGTATGTTTGGGAACCTTCCCTGTAGGCATGAATGATGAAATGAACTCCCTTTTTCCTCCCAGCGAAATCTTCATCCCCAGAACAACAGACTCCAGGTGAGGATGGTGTGGGAAATAGGCAGCAGGGAAGAGAAGTGCTCTAGTTTCAGACCACTAACCTGTAAATTTGACGTGGCATCTAGCTGTGTATTTATTAAAATAGATATCTCCATTGAACATATACTTCAAAACATTGCCGTTGCAGGTATGAGGAAGTGATAATTAGTGTGTTATGAAACAGCTACTGATGTCCTGTTTTTCTGTCTACGCTTTCAACTGGCCTTTGAGCAGCAACAAAAAGGGAAAAATGAAAATGCCTTGTGGTTCGTTGAAGCAGAAAGCAAGCCAGAAAAAAAAATACAGTTAAAAGAAATAAAAATCATGGAAACGTTTTCTAAGTCGAAAAAGGCCCATAAGGATCATCAAGGATCATACTACTACTGAGTATGGTGTAAATGATGCAGGGTTAGCTCAAATAAAATGTGGACAATGGAAAGAGTATTCTGCATCTTGAAGGATGCACAGAGAACACTGCTGGGTTTCAAGTAAGCCCCTCACACTGCTGATTAGAATGCACGCATGCTGATCCCTGGGTTATAACTGTTTTACTTTCTGGAGAACAGCAGTGTAAGTTATTTTCATTTGCAGCTTTCTTCTCTTTGCAGAAGAAATTTCTCAAATACTTCTTCCAAAAGCTGCTTTTCTTTTTAATATAATGAATGAAAACAGCTTCCTGGTGCAGAGCAACTTTGTGAGTTTTATGAGCTGTAGAGTTAGTTGGTAAGTGCAACTGAAAAGAAGGCTTTGTCTTTCAGTTTTTCTTTGGAATTGATTGCAGAAGGCAGTAAGTCGCCACATCAGGGTTATAAATTATGTTCTGTTTTCTGTGTGTGTGTTTTTTTTATCCAAGCAAGATCAGGGTAGATCTTAAATGCAGTAGCTGAAAAGAGTTGATGAGCATGGTCATATTTGAACAAATACGTAGTGAAACTCTATCCGTAAATCCTGAAGTATCAACTGGCTCTCTAGGATTCGTGCTGTGGCACACGTTGCTTTTACTTTTACTTTTATTTACACGTGTTAGAAGCTTGGTGCCTAGCATGGGAGTGACTGCTGTTGGCTTGGTGATGAGTGGTGGTGGTGTGTGTCACTGTTTGCCTGTTGTGTTATTTTAGCAGTAGGGAAAAAGCAGAATATGAATTTTACTTCAGGACCCAGAAAGCATCTCTGACCTCTGACAACAAGCAAGCAGTTGAGTTCCTGCTTTTTATAATTTAGATTGAAAGTAAATGGGCAAGTCCTGCCAAACGGCAGGGTGTGAGGGTCAGACTGTTAAAAGCTCTGATTCTCCTGTTATAGATCCACACTGGTGGAGAAAACCAAAGCATTACATGATTCACTGTGCTGAGATTTCTCCACCTTTTTTTTTCCTTGGGAGTTGAAATGCTGATCCTAACCTGGACTGGACTTCTTTTTTTCCGTGAAAGCCTGGGTTAGCTGACAAGCCTGCCTGCCTGAAATCTTGTCTGCTTTCTCCAGCTCAGGTGGCATAAGATAAAGATGCTTCCTTCAAACCTGGTCTCAGACTCTGCGAACTGCAGTGCTGCTGCTGCAGATTTTCCTTATTTTTAATTATAATGTGATAAAATATATGCTTTACAATTGTCGTGCACCTGGAGAGGTAAGACAAGCTTTTATCACAACTGTCTGTCCTTGAGTAGAATATTTATTTACAGAAAGATTTATGTATAGGAAATACCTTGGAAATGTGTAATCCCTAAACCAGTGCATGTATGTGCACGATTGAGAGAGGTCTTTAAATAGACTTGAAGACAGTTCGTTCTCTTGCTACAAGGGCTGCTGAAATGTGCTGCGTGTAAAGGATTCTGTGATAGGGATCGTTTTGTTGCTGGTAGATAATGATGCTTTTACTGGGAAGGAAATTGATATTTTAATCATCTGCTGACTTAAAGCCCAGACTTCAATCTTCAAGCTGTGGTGTGTGGGTTCATGGCGGCAGCGCTCAGCTTTGTGGTCTCAGGAGGCCCAGGCTCTCCGTGCTGCTGCCTTGCTCTCTCCCTCTTGAGCTGCTTGCTTATTTCTCCGCTCCAATTGCACTTCCAGCAATTCTTTGCTGCCGTGCAGGTCTTTGAATTTCATCTATGGCACCTTTTTCTAGAGTTGGTTTGACAGAAATGAATGCTAGTTTTCTTACTTACGTTTAGATTTGAGGTTTTGGACAGTAATTGTCAACGCAATAAGTTTTCTCTTGTTTGCACAAGTAAGAAGGAGAGATTTTCTATGGTTCGTAATCAATAATGGGGGAAGATTGGCTCGATTGCTTCTGATGAGTTTCTAAAGTCATGGTTTGCAACGTGGGGGGATCAGCTCTGCCTTTTGATTTCTAAGTGGATGCATGTGAGGAATAAAGGAATAATTTAAAAGATGGCACTGTCTGCAAGTAAGCCACTGCTTGTGAAGCACAGACAACAGACCTTTTCCGCTTTAAATCTTGCAAATCAGATGCTCCTTCTTAAGAGTTTGCTAATTTCACCATCTGATGAATAGCAGCATCTTTGTTTTGCTTCTGTGCAGTAGTTCTGTGTTTATGAATGTGGGTAACTTTGGAAAGCTAGATTTCAGAGTGTGCAATGATTTCCTAACGTGCCCACCTTTTTGTAGAAGAAATGAGGGAGGATTTAGTAACCAACAAAAGCAATTAACTGTTTGTATTTTCTGACACTTGTGCTCTTAAATCAAAATTGCACTATTGTATGAATATGCATTACATTTCAGTCACCTTACCTAAAAGAGGAAATCTGCTTCTCACGGTATGATACCCATGGGTTGGTATTGGATTTTGTTTTTTTTTAAGGGCAGCTCTTTAGTATTGCAGCAGCCTGTTTCTGAAGATTGTTCTCTATCAGCAGTGCATGGAGCCGTTAACTGTAGGAGCTTTTGCATTTGAACACTGTGACACTAATTTGTCCAAAGCTGTTTAATGTGACTGCGATTTAGTTCACACCTATTTCCTCAAATATTCTCCATATAATTAGATATCAGTTCCGAATCAGAAGCATAATATTTGTATTCCGTATCTGGAAACTGCACACAGCCATTGCATTATGACTGACACATTCCTGCATGGAGGTGCCAGGAGGCTGGATGGCCTTCTGACAGTCAGTGATTATTCTGTGTCCAAGTAGTTTTCTGGGTAAGGTAGCTTTGCGATTTAGGCCTGCTATGCACTGTTCTTGCTTGATTCCACAAACTCCTGATGTTTTGCTCATGCTTTGAGCTTCAGCATCTCATAAAGAGTTCATAACTTCATAAAGAGGGAAAGCAGTTTTTCTGCTTTGGAGCCAGAGAGAAAGGTGAAAATTTTCAGTTTTAACTGCTGCTGTGTAGAAGGCTGGTTGCAATCTCACTCAGTAAAGTTAGTTGTAATTAACTGCTTTCTTGTGTATTTCCTGCACCGTGAAAAATGCTTTTGTTTATAAAGATTCCTATGATGCTTCAAACTGTGTAACCAGGATTTAGCACCAGATTAATTGGGAGAGATTAAGGAGCAATATTCTCTTTATGAAGTTTAAAAAGAAGTTATTGATCTAGCATAATTGAAAAGCAACACCCAAACCTTCACAAAGAACCTGCCTTCTCTTTTTATTGTCACTAGTCAATTAGCAGTGCTTTTATAGGGATCTGTGCTTTTATAACAGCCACTAATTTTATTATTTCTGTTATTAATGAGGTCTTTGGCAAGAACTAAGCAGTGACAGTGTCTGTGAATTAGCACTTGCATGCAGAAGTTCCTCACCTGTGTGCACACTTCTTTTTCAAGGTAGAAATCCCTGTCCCAGTTATGTACGTTCTGTCCTCTTTGTAGAATCTGTTGCTTGAAATACCTGTCTATTTTATGATATCTGAGAATCCTAACCTGATGCCCTGAATTCTAACCTCCAATTCATAGACTGCTAAGGAGGGAACGGTCTGGAATGCACAGAAATTCAGTGTCATTTTAATGAATAGCCACATTTATTAGTAAGTGATTGCAGTCCCATGCAGCAAACAAAGCTACCGATGCACTTTCTGAAGTAAAGTTTGATTGTGTTTGTTTGTTGCTCAGGCAACTCCTGCAGCCCCAGCACAGGAAAAATGAACTCCTGCTGTCTTTCATTATCTGCAGTTCAGTGGTAGCTGTACCCTAAAGATAATTCTGTAAATCCTTAAGTTTTCAAAAAATCTATATCACATTGATTTATTTTTTCATTTGTATAAAACTGAAATAGACCATTTTTAATTAAACATTCTTAAAGAATCTTCAGGAGTAAAAAAAGCTGCTTTCCCATGGATCTCTTTCTGATTAGTTGTCAAAAGTAGTATTTGCTATAAAGCTGGACATGAGAAAATATGAGAGTCATCCTTACTCTGTAATGACTAACCAGAAAGAAATTGTCTCACCCAATATATGTTTAAATAGAAAAAAATCTGTTTTATTTCGTGTGAGGCAGATTGAATGGTGAATCTGAGTCTCAAAGATCAGGTACACAGATGGGGCTGCCCTGACGTGACAGGCAGATATGGGAGTTCTTTGGGGTGCTTTACACACCTTGCCATTTTTCCCACAGCAGGAGAAAATCAGGTTCCCAGAAACTGAGGCTGGTAAGACTCGTCATTGGTGCTTCCAGGAACCATGTTTTTAAGAGATGACTGTCTGTCATTAGTGTAATATCCAGTACGACAGATTTCGAGGTTGAGCTGAAGTTACTGGAAACAGTGATTCGCTGTGCACAGTGTAATTTGCCATGTCTCCCTCTGCATAGTATCAGCTGTAAGCCTTAGGTGCTTTTTCAGTGGTTTGTTTCAAAAGAAGGACTATCCACTGAGGATGTGCTTACCATAAAGGCATTAGACTGCATTATGGTTAGAGGAAGAAAAGATTTAGCCCTCATCCAAATAATATTCAAAATCTCAGTAGCGGAAAGCAAACAACTTTTCTGTTTAAATCAGAGTTCCCAGAGTTGTACCCAATATGCAAGCCTGATGGCACGAACGCGCCGTACTCACCAAACAGTATTATGAGAAGGGCAATCGGCATCACAAACAGTCCCACCAGCAAATCCGCCACCGCCAAGGATGTTAGAAAGTAGTTGGTGGCATATTGCAGCTTTTTCTCCAGGGACACCGCCAGGATGACCAGGATGTTCCCACCGATGGTGGGGATGATCACCAGCAGGATCAGCAGTGCAGCCCAGTGCACTTTGTTTCCTTGCTCATCGTTTGAGTAGTTCTCTTTGGGTTCTGTTACCGAGAGAGGTGACAAAGATCCATTGCCAGCTCCAGACCCGTTCAAGAAATGTGAAGGATGGGGCATCTTTGTGCCCAGCAGGATGTGTCTGAGAGCTGTGTTTTGTGCAGGAATCGCGTATGGTGCAAGAGTTCAGTGTGCCTCTCTGCTCCGAGATGGTCCTGAAGAAAGGCCAGCATGGTCAGTATGGTAAACTGGTCATCTGCTATTTTGAGGTACAGTAACCATGTCAGAGCTTGGATCCAATTTTTTTTTTTATCCTGTGCCTTACTGGGTGTGTTGAAGTCTTAAAAACCCAAGTCCTGTCTTGTGTCCATCTCTGGCTGTTAGGGCTGAAGGTTTGACGTCCCCATATAGCGAGGTTCAGCTCTTAGAAGATTGTACAAGAGAATTCAATGCCTGAGAATAGTAAGCAGTTCATTAGCTCCCATCTTTCACCGCTGTAGGAAAAAAAAAAGAGAAAGAAAAAGTGGTAGATGGATTTGGATGCCAGTTGTTTCCCTCTAGCTATAGCGTACGAAGGTTTGCTATTTGTAAGCACAAACTGGTGCAGGCAGATGCTGGTGTGATGTGTGTGCAACTCCTCCTCTCTCCAGTGCCTACTCTCCGGCAGCCTGTGCGTAGGCAGGCAGCAGTTCCCATGTTTCCTCTTAATAAGAGTCCTATTTCTCCGGAGAGGATCACCCCAAAAATATCTTCAGAAATGATGTATGTGGTTTCTGTTTTATTCTCAACAGTCCCTACTTTATCAGGTGAGGGTCAGGAAGTTGCAGATAATAAAACACTGGTGACAGTCCCAAGGGGACCATAAAGATTTATGGAACTGAGACCTCTAAATTTACCCATTCCTTCAAGGGGGGGGTGAGTAAACCTTTTGTTTTTGTAATCTGAGCAGGGCTTCTATGAAGCACAGCCTTTTCTCTTCCTCTCCCCTCTCTCAGCTCAGCTGAAGACTTAACGCTTGCATTTCCCCCTCCAAGCAGATGCTGAAAGAGTTCTGTCTTTAGCTGAACAGTTTCTGAGAGGACCTGATGTGCTCTAAGTCTCAGGTGAAGAAAGCCTTACCTTTTTCTCTTGTGTTTCAGTGGAGTTCACTTGTATCCAGGAAGATACTCTGTGATTTGTTCTTCGTTTTCATCACATGGTGGACTTTAAGATGAGGTTTTTCGCTGTTTTCTAGAAAGCCGGTTGCTCATTTATTTGTCTCTTATTTTTCAAACGAATGTCTCTTGTGTGTTTGTTTAGCACTTAGCGTTTCTTTTAACACCAAGATGAAGAATTTCTCTTTGAGGAAAGCTGTCTTCCTTACCCAGGCATTTTCTCTGGTTTTTGAATGCAGGAAAAGAATCATTCTTGCTGCATTTAAAAAAGATAAAGAAAGGATGTCCTTTTCTTCTGTCCTTCCTCTTCTACTGTCTTGATGATTTTACTTATGTGATTAGCACGGTCTCAGTGCAGTTTTCTTTGTTCATTAGCAAAACTTGCAGTCTGCTGCTACCCATTGTTTGCTGACCGACTCATTCCAGTGCATGCAGCTCCAGCGCTTGGAAGAAGGGAACTTAGTGAGTGGGGGCTCGGCTGGAAAAGAGCCAGCGAGCATTAATTGATTCAGTGCTCCAGCCCTATAACGTATGCCTCTTGTAGCTGTGTAAGGATCTGCAGATCTTGCTAACAGCCCTTCCTCCTACAATATCCTAACTGTACGCAGGGCAGCATGCGTGCATATGTGCGCGATCGCTCTCTCTGCCTCTCTCTGGTCAGAAGCACAGTTAACCCTGCAAAGTTCTGCTGCCACAGAAACGCTCTGATTAGCATGCTGTTTTAAGTGTGGGGGCTGTTACTTTAAATCTTTCTACTTGCAGCTGCTTCTTATTATTGTGAATGTTCGTTTTTGATACCTTCCAACTTTCAGTCAAATATGTGTATCATCTCTAAGTTTGCGTATTTCTTCATTAAAATGGAAATAGGTTTCACTTCTGTGGACATTAGCTAGATAACTGAGTAACAGAGTCATTGAGTTTAAGGCCAGAAAAGAGCGTGATCTAACCCTGGGACGTCACTGACCATTACACTCCTGAGCTGCTCGGTGCTCAGCAGGCTCAGCCTGCCGTTTGGGTCCTTGGTGAAGTGTGAATCAATTCACGTTCGTTTAAAAGTAAGATAAACTTCTTTGGAATAGAGCTCGTTAGAGCCAAAGTGAGAGAGAGTGTCTGCCAGACGTGAATAGAAATATTTAGCTGGCAGTTTGGGTAGTATGCTAGAATATCCAGCAAAGTTGTCATCACTTGTTCTGTATTTTTACTGCTTAAAAAGAAACCTTTGTTAAAATTTCGTATTGTCTTCATTTTCAATTGACTTTTGATGTCTTTACTTCGTAAGACGTAACTTTCTGAAGAATAAAGATGAATAATCTGGCTATGGTGATTCTGTTTCCTCGGGATGGAGCTATTGGCAGTAGATATAGAATCGTGTATGTGGAAGGAATGCTGGATTAAAAGCAGCGAGGTGCAATAAACGATAGATTCATCCTTTAATTTCAGTTGTTCTACTTGTGGGCGTATGCCATGTGCAGCTGCTCCTCGTGTCACATCTCCAAATTAGGAGAACAGAGTTAAAAGCTCTGGGGGTTAAAAGCAGACCGTTTCTATCAGAAACTTCTGCTCATCATCAGCACCAGTTATTGCTATAAGACTGTGCTGGATGCTTAGCATTATCTTTAAAGAGGTGGGTTTTTTTCTTCTTCTTATATTTTTATCTTCCACAACACAGTAGACAGAGTGACTTCAGTGTGGGGGAAGTGTCGGTGGTGGAGAAATGTAGTTTTGTCAACTTGACTTGTTATAAATCTTAGGCAAGTAGGAGAAGCGTCTCTTCAGGTTGCTGTGATAAAAAGTTCTTTCTGTCAGAGGGAAAATCAGGTGTTTCCACTTCTCTAGAATACCTCATTGCATTTTATAACATAATTTATATGATTAAAACATCTCTCCGCCTCCAAAAATGTCTGAATTAAACAAATTAGGAGGGAGAGGTGCTTTGATGTAGCACCACCCAAAGGCCGCCCTGCTGCCTGCAGGTGGGTGTGATGGGAGCTGTGTGAAAGCATCCTTATGGAAAGGGGAAGGATTTTTCAATACAGGTTAAAATAGTGTTCTTAGGCCCTTCCAGAGGATGGTGATGAGACTTCAGCTACACATAGGCTTGTTCAGAGGACATACAAGCATATAGCTTTGTGCGTTGTTCAATTTCAGATGGTTAAAAAGCTTACCTGTCATTCATAATGGTTTTTAACTTCCTCAGGCTTTAATAATTCTTCTGGAGGGGGGGGAAGGAGGGAGGAGAAATCCACTTGTATATCATTACAGGTCTCTAGCAAGTTCTCTGCATGCCTGGCTAGGCTTTCCCTGCACGCTCCACCTATATGCCCCTTTCCTCTCCAGTGGTAGAACTTCAGGCTCGCTACACCCTGCTTCACCATTAGTATTTGAGCCATGTATAGATATTTCACCACAGCTATTCACTGCTGTTATTTCTGTTTCCAAATTGCCAACAGTGTTTTATTTGAAGGGGTCCGAGTCTGCTTCAGTCACGCCGTCACTGGTGGCAGTGTCCTTTGGTAGGCGCCCATCCCTGCGGCTCCTGTGCTGCAGCTGTTTGCAGCCCTCTCCTGACCTCCTGCTGGTGGGAGGCCGCCTGGGAGCCCTCCTTCCTCAGCAGGTCTCAGTGACGCAACTGGAAGGCAATTTGGATAAAATTGGTGTGGAGAAAGAGCCTGTGCTGCATGAGATAGTTGCAGGAAATTCCTGGCCCCTGAATAGCTTGCATCCTTTTGTCAAGGGAGAAGTAGATGAGATTTATGCCCATGCCTATCAGACACTGAAATGTGCCAGTTTGTTGCATTTTTGTCTGCACTTTTCCCCTCCCCTGTGTTGTGCCCTGCTGCACACACACTCTGCAAATTGTGCAGTTAGATGTCTGCGTTCTTCCTTTATTAACTCATGCATGGATAAAATGAAATGCATATTAAGCTTTTCTTCTTTACTTGTCACCACACAAGCAAAGCAATGTGTAGAACTAGTCCTGTATCAAATGATTAATTCATGTCCATTAGCTTAGAAAGTCATATATATTTATAATCTTTTGAAGTATGACTGATGAAGAATTTCAAAGATAAATTTGACATTATTCCCCTCTAACATTTCATTTTTCACCAAGTTGTAAAGCCCTTAAATGTTTAGACTAAAAAATAAGTGTGTGAAGTGATGGTTCAGACAACTCCATTTTTAGTCTCAAGTCAGACTCAGTGTGATGTTTATTTTCAGTATTCTCTTTGTTTACTTGTATACTTGTAAAAGGTAGCATCGGAACGTTTTCATGTTCAAATATTGCTAAAACAGAAGCAGAAATGACAGTAGTCCTGTAACCTTCAAGATGTGTAAGTCTCAAAATGGGAGATAAATTGCACAAGGGTATTTGGATGTAATTCTGAGATAATGAGTGCAGTGTGCTTCAAGATGGGACAATTGGAGTTGTTAATTTGTCTTGTTGATGCACACTTCTTAGACAAAAATAGTAGATTGTTAAACAGAATCAAAGGACCCAACAGTGTGTGGTAAGTTTCAGTATGCCACTAAGGCTGGTGTGGGCAAATCCTACAGAGAAAGATGACTTTGTACCTGCAGGTATTGCAAATGTAATTTACCTTCAGAACTTCTACCTCCCCACCCCCCAGGCCTTAGGATTCTGAATAGAGCTGCTGTAAGAAAGGATTCCTTTTGAAAAGGAAATAGAATTTGCAAACTATGGAGAACTTTTCCATCATCAACATCATTAACTGAAAGGACGAATGCCCATCCTCCACTTCCAACCAATCTGTATGTCTTTCTTCAGATTAGGCCTATATTTTAGTTGGGGATTTTTTTCTATCGGAGGCTTAATAAAAACTTTATTTCTGGGAAATTTCAGGGCACTTGGAAGCTAAACATCAGCCTTCTATATACAGCGCAATATTTGTATGTTTATGAGTGTCACGTATTATATCCCAGTGATGAACATCCTCAGGAACGAGATCAAAGTTGGGGCTGAAGCTGAGGTTGCGGGGCAGCGTTAGGCAGTTGTGTTGTGCTTCTGCGAGGATTCAGAATCCTCAGTAAAGCAGTGTTTGTTTCTGTGTGGTTTTGAGAGGAGCCACTTGGTGAGTAAACCCGATAAAATGCCAGCTGTTAGGTTTTGCTGACGATTTCTCATTACTGTCTTGGTGCATCTTAATTTTCTTAAAGGTTTTGTTTATGATTTCTGAAACAAACCAAACTGTACCTTGGAGCAAGTCCTTCATCAGCAGGCCAAGTATCACAGCAGTAAAACTTCTCCTGGCATGGGCTGGAAACAAAGCTGTAGCTGGCTACTGTGCAGAAGTCCTAGGGAACAGACTTGTGAAGCTTCTTTGGCTTCTTAATTTATTTTGTTTCCTGATAACAGAAGGAATAGAGCCAGTTGTGACGAAGATTTTTTTGGTTGTGGGTGTGGATTCGTTGACGTTTATATTTCTTTGGATTACATAGGAGCAGTAGAGCAATACTCAAATGAAAATGAAGGAAACAATCAAGCACTTCTGTTGTTTTGCTGTTGAGTAAAATGTAATTGCAAAACCAGGCTGCTTGAGCAAAACCAGCATTAGGAGGAAAGGAAGGAACCGGTGCATTAAAGGTAATTTGGTTTAAAAATAGACACTGCATATCTTCCTAAGATATACAGCCCAGGTTAAAGACCTGCCTCAGGCTTTAATGTAGGAATTTGTTGGATTAAATTACTGGCCTCTGTTACAGGAAGGTCAGCACAGGGGACTACGATATGTTGCTTTGGGCCTCACAGTATATTAAATATATTCCAAGTTCAGGGTTTTTACTGTGAAATGGGAATGTCTGCTGTTGAAACTGCCCCCTGTGTGTCCGTGTCATTCCGATGTTTCACGCAAGTTACTGTCTGTTTAACCTGCAGTAACACCTGGTGACCCTACCGGTGCTAGGAGCAGCCTCTTGCTGGGTGTGACTGCTGAGAAATTCATTCGTCTTCACTATTGCTTCTCTCCTTCTCCCACCAAGGGAACATAACCACACCAGCTCATTGAGGGGCACGATGGAGGAGGTGGAGGCCTGCAGCAGGCGGCCTCGAGCAGAGGTGGTGTGGGACCTGCATGGCGCTGGTCCTGATGGAGGGGAGACTTCCTCCATCAGAGCGGAGCTGCCTCTCTTGTGCTGAAAGCAAGTCAGTGGCTCGTGTGGCTGTGCTCGCAAGGAAGGGTGAAAAACCTCGGGCTGAGGGGAGGAGAACGTGATGGTGTTTTCAGCATGTTCCTCAGTCCGATTGCCGGTTAGAAGTAATTCCACAGGAGCAAGATTGCAGGCTGGGACTGCGTAGGAGGGTGTTTCAAATTGTGCCTTTGATCACGTAACAGAACTATTTGGAGTTTTATGAATTTTATTAAGTGAGCTTTGGAGCTTATATTTGCTAACCGTCTGGCAATAGCATGTAGGACTTTGTAAAGCATTTCAGCAGTAGAGCGAGCAAACACGTTACAACGTAAGCACTGATGCCAGCACTGCTCTTGTAACTGAGGTCATGTTCCTCTGATGAGTGTTTTTATGAGGCTCTTCAACTTCCTCTGCCCACTTGTGATTCTG